TCCAAGGTGACAGCACCCTGCACAAAGGTGATGGTCACGGCGTGTTTAACACCGATTGAATAGACTGAAACGTACAGTGCTGCCATGTCTGAGTGTCAACGCAGGCTCCACATCAGCATTCAGATCCAACCCAGCAAGAGCTTACGGATGGCAGGCTCTTTCACATTCAGACTAGATAGTCCCAATCTTACTGAAAAGGCAATTCTCCCCCAACGGATTTATGGATTCAATTCAACTCCTATTACAATCATGACAGCCTTTGTGTAGAAATTTACAAGCTGATTCATTAGTCTATATGGAAACACAAAACACCTAATAGGTAAAACAATTCTGGGAAAGAGAACAAAGCTAAGGACTGACCCTTCCAGATCCAAAGTCTTACTACAAAACATTGTAATCGAGACAGTGTAGTGCTGGTGTAAGGACAGACCTACAGAGCAGGCTTCCTATTTGTAATGAGCTCTGACAAAGGCGCCCAGCAAGTCGGTGGAGTACGGATTGCCTTTCTAGAGACAAATGGTGTTAAAATAATGGGGCATCCACTCACTAACAACAACAAAAAAACCTCTTAAATCCTTATCTATCCACAAGATTTGCTCAAAATGGATCATAGAGCTAAATGTAACAGCTAAAACCATGACATTTCTAGGAGAAATGAGGAGAAACTATCTATGATCTATGATTATGCAAAAATGTATTAGACATTAAATAGAGTTCATCAAAATTACAAGCTTTTGTTGTCCTAAAGATACCATTAGGACAAAATAAAGCTACAGACTAGAAGAAAACATTGTTTGCTAATACATGAAAAGATGTTCTCTTAAGAATTTTCCTGAGAAATGAAAATATATATCTATGTAATAGCTTACATATAAATATTCGCCACAGCTCAAAATCTAGAAAAACCCAAATGTTCCATAGTTTATGAAAGGATAACCAAAAATGTCTATCTGTAAATGGCATGAACAAGCACGAAGGACTGATTCAGGCTGTGACACAAGCATCTCAAACACACTAAGGGAGAGAAATCGGACACCAAAGAGCACATGTTACATCATTCCTTTTATATGAAACTTCCAGAAAAGGCAAATCTAGCAGAAAAGTAGAAGGAGATTAGCGACTGTGTGCAGCTGAGGTGGTAGAAGAGACTGGATATAAACAAAAGGAGGTTATGGAATAGCTTTAACACTAATTTAATCATGGGAGTGGTCGCACCACTTTATAATTGACCAAACTTCACATGGATGAATAGATCTCATGGTAAGGATCTTTACTACATTTTTAAAAGGTAATCTAACTTCTATCCACCTAGACTGAGTGCTAAGAGTCTGTGTCCCTCAGCACTGGACATCGATATTCAATCTTTTAAACCAACTGGCTTTAAAAACAAAAAAATCCTCTATCTCACTATTTTTCACAATGTACATCTCTGATTTCCAGTAAAGCCAAACATTTTCATCTACTCGAGTCTGTTATTTGTCCAACAAATGTCTTGTGTGTCTTTTCCACAAGGACACATGAGACTCTTTACAGCAAAACCTTTTCAGTTATATTGATACAAAATTTTTCATATATTTTAAATTTTTAACTGTTTTCTTGCCATACTAAAAATATTCATTTTTATGTAGCCAAATTTAACTATACTTTAAAGACAAATTTTAAAACTTTGTCTCTGATGTTCTAACAAGTAATGTGTATGTACATTTACACCCATATCTATCTCAACATGCCCCCACCCCCACCCTAGTACTGGGAGCTGAAACCAGGGAGCACGAACTATACCCCTAGCCCTTTCGGTTCCATTCTGAAGTAAAATGAGTATTATTTTTTTTTTTTTCTATTTCACCCACTACCTATTATGTAACATAAGAAACTGACCTTCATTTAAATCTTATAAACTAAGAAAGAGACTATACTATTAAAAGTGCTGTAGTTTGAAACTTGTTAAGTTGCCCAACCTGGTCTCAAACTTCCAGTCTCCTTGCCTCAGCCTCCTGAGCAGCTGGGATCACAGCACTGTGTGTCACTACCCTCAGCCAACAGGGGATATTCTTTTGTAAGATTGATTACTAGAAACCTTGAGCATTGTTAACTATGTATTCGTTATGCCAAACCTAATGCTACTCACCAGCTTTTCTGTTGAGGAAAACAGGTTCAATAAAAAGTCTGACGCCAGACTTCCTCCTTAAGCCTCTAAGTGTCAAAAGTCATTACTGTTTATTTGTCAAATTCATGGAAATTGCCTCATTTGAGAATATCTGAGGACACACCAAACACAACAGTTCATACGATAAGGAACTGGAAAAACAAAAGGATGTACAAATGTGTTTGCTAATCATGCCAGGACTGATTCCAGGCCTTGCTGGCTGGTGGCTCTTTGTACAACACCCAGTTGTCACATAATGCAGGACCACAGCAGGCGTTTGTGGATGTTTGACCAGAACAGTCCAGAATTCAGCCACTCACTGTCCCCTACCACCCGAGGCCAGGAATGCTTTCTTTTCCCTACTTCAATCACCTATTCACCCATCATGTAACATTGGAAACTCAACTTTAAATCTTATAAACTTAGAAAGAGAATACTGTACTGCTTTGAAAAATAATTTAGCAGTTATTAAAAAAATCTACTAGGTTTAATGTGGCTGTAGCTATTAAGTACAAATAGATCCATAAGAGTCCTAAGATTTTATATTAACATGATGACATTATGGCCCTGAATTTATATAATTAAGGTCTACACATGCTCAGAAGAGGCATCCAAATGCCTGATGGTAGAATTGTTGATTTCATGTTTAAGTCCCACCCCACCTAGCAACCCAAATTCAATCTCATTCTTTTCTCCTGTTACCTCTGGTACCTTCAGGTACGCATTCTGGAACATTAAAAGCCTAAGTATTATTCAACTGTTTCGTGCTTGCTAGCCTCAATGTGTCATTGTATCACACAAAAGTTCCAAAAGAACGGTCTGTTTTGTTTCCACAGCATTAAAATACTCCTAGGATGCTAGATACTTCCCCTGACTTTCTATACCACTTCTTGCTTTGCAGAACTTAGAAATTCCCTGAAGACTTATTGATTTCTAGAAAGTGAAACAAAGGGCTACAACAGCCAAAGGGCACTGTTAAAGCTGACTACAGTGTAGAGCAGGCAGTTATTTAGCCAAGGAAAATATCAGGGAGTAGTTCACATAAATGCTTTGGCAGTTACTCCAGCTTTACACATCTCTAACAGCTATGTATGGTTTGCCTCAAGTTTTTTTAGCTTCTTTTTTCCTATTTTCTTTTTTTCCATCTCCATGATCTTTTCTTGGTGACGATGGTTGCTAACCTAAGTTCACATGAATTTAAAAGATTTCATGGGCAGCTCTAGGGTTTGACAGATGACCATCAAAAACGTATTTTGTTTGTGACTTCCTGTGTCCAGGTACCAACCTAGATCTTTGGGCTCCACTCACACCTAGAAAGCCTTGTAATTAATCAAGGAGAGGTTTGCTGTTGTTAGAGAACAACGTCTTAGGGTTGGCCAGACAGCTCAGTGGACTAAAGCGCCTGCTTAGGCAGAGTGCTGCGGGCAGCATTCGATCCTGGGGCAGGCTGAGACAGTGACAAGCCTGGGCATGGTGGTGCGTGCCTGGAATCCCAGCACTTGGGAGGTTCAAAACAGGAGAATCACTATGAGTTTGATCTGTGTAGTGAGGCCCTATAGACCTTGTACTAAATACAAAAACAAACAAACAAACGCCAAAGAAACAGATGTCTTGAAGGGGCACACAGCTATGACTCTTCAACGGTCTGTCATCAGTGCCAGGGCTCTTGGCTAGCTCATTCTTACGAGTTGCCTTGTTTCCAGGCAAGTAAAACCATAGTCAAAAGCCAGTGAGTCCCTTAGCTCTGCTCTCCCTTTCTGTCTCCACAGAGTTGGGTGGTGACAAGAGGCAGGACTGTTGGCTTTTCCAACTCTGGCACTTGAACAAAAGTCAAGTTGAGGTCTACCACACATAAAGGCTGCACCACACATAACCTGCTGCTTTATCTACAGTTAACTCCAACTCACTCTGCGACCCATTTCTTGATGATTCTTGATTCTACAAGAATCTCCAACTCTTCATTAATCCTTTGTGAAGACAGTGCTGTCTCTCCAACACCCTCCTTCTAGTAACAACAGAATGAGGAAGCCAACATTACCACAAAATCAGTTTGCATAACGACCCTCATCAGCATTGTGAAAACGCCACAATCCAGAGGTCGTCTGGATCCTGCTAAGCAAGTGAAGAAAGGCTGAGAGTAAGGACGCCTCTCCAGCATCCGCTCCAACCTTTGCCATTAGCTCCAGAGGTGTCTACTAGCTCGGCGAGTGGAACCTCGTCTTTATGGCCTGGTTCCACGGGACACCATCTGCTCCACACGCGTGCGGGCGAGAGAGACGGCGCAAGTCAACGGCGCAGCACGAGGGCACAGTCTGCGCGCATCAAACTCGGAAGGATGCACACAACGCTCGGATTTTGGGGGCGGAGACCTGGCTGCACCGAATTACTAGCGGTGACACAGAAAGCAGAAGCCTCGGAATCGCTAAAACTTCCACCGTCTCCACCACGGGAGTGCCGACCCGCCCGTCTCTAACCCGGCGAGCGGAACCGTACTCGCGGTCTCGTGCCGCTGGAACTCGCACTCACTCGGTGGCTAGCAGACCTGGGAGCGGGCACCCGGGGACCTGTGGCCCGCCCGCCACGGCGCCGCCTCCGGGTCCCCCGCCCG